CTATATTGTGGTTCCACACACGATCCCTATATTCTGCGCCTCGATCTGAACCAACATCCGACAAGCGCAACTGTATGAGTGAGCAATCCTCAATATGATCAAAAACAGTATTGCTTTCAGCTGCATAATAGCAGCTTCAACACAAATGCATAATGCTTATTTTTAAGTTTCATTGTAGATTTCATTTTAACAGCTCCATAATGTTTATTTAATTGCTTGTGAATAAAATGCATTGATATATTTAAAATTTTGATTTTATATATATTACTCTTAACGAATTCCTTTAATAGCATATGTTATAAATCCATAAAACTACTAATGCAAGAATTTAAAAAAAGTATGACCTGTACAATTTCTATTGATATGACGATTTAATATAATTTCTATTATTTTTGTCATGTATTATATATTGATCAGAAAGTTAAATATTAAATCTGGACTAGGACAAAAGATAAAAATAATTAAAACTCAAGGATAGATAATAACTAAAAAAAGACAAGGAAATGATCATTGTCCAAGAAGTAATCAGTCAAAAAAGATAAGCCAAAAGAACCCTTCATTTTCTCTCCATGAAAACCCTAGTTAGGGATATGCAAGTCTTATGAAATTCATGGCCTACACTGTTTCTTTGCTACATGCAATCTGACGTCACAACATCGCCTTGGCCCCTATAATCCATTCATTATTCTTCTCAAATTTCTTTCTTTGGGTTTACTCTTCATGCCATTGTCAATTTCCCATCCCCACCAAAAAGAAACACCCATGAAAATGCATCTTTCAGTCAGACTGAAACGCCAAATCCAAACATTGTTCATCCAATAGCAAGTGATACCCAATTGCCACCAGAAACAAACAACCTTAAGCCTGCTAATTTTAATCAAACTGAAACACCCAACCCAAACAGTTATCAACCAACAGTAAGTAATTCCCAATTGACAAACAACCTGACCGTGCAAATTTTAATCAAAGTGAAACTCCAATCCCAAACACTATTCAGCCAACAACCCAATCTATACCAAACAGAAAAAACTTTGAGCCTAATCCAATTGTTCCAACTTCATGTGGTCAGAAAAAGAAAACCAGAGTTATTAATTTGGGAAATGTGGAACATGAAGATGTAGTTGGTTCTGATGAAGAGTATGAATTTGACAGGTCATCAGGTGATGATGAAGGAAATTATCAAGAAATGCAGGAAGGTGATGGAGATGGTATTCAAGATGGTGGTGATGGGATTAGTGCTAATGAAGAACTCTCATATTATTATTCTAATGAAGATGAATACATTGGTAGTGGGTCAAGTAAGGATGATGGACCAATTAGTAAGTTACCTACGAAAATAAAAGCAAGCCAATTCCAACCCTAAAGCAGAAAAACAGTCCCACCTCAACTAGAAGGACTAATATTTAAGTACTTGAATCATATAAGGGAAGTTTTGACATAACATTCAATGAACTCAAGTTTTCAGTTGAAAATAATTAAGAATGAAAGATATAGATTTACTGTTAGTTGTGTTGCAGAAGGGTACCCATGAAGACTTTATTCTTCATTAGTTGGGGGTGAGGGGCTATCTTTTTAGATCAAGAAATTGAATTCTGAACATAACTGTCAAAGGGTGAAAAACATATCTTTAATTAATTTATCTCTTCATTTAAGACTTCTGAACCATGATACTTCTAAGTAAGCGTTTGGTTAAGGGTTATCCCCCGTTACTGAGGTAACGTTATCTTATATTACTTATATTATCATGTTTGGTTATCAAGTAATATAAGATTCTGATAATCTTCTAAATAATGGTAATTATTATTGGTTATATAGGTGATAATCTGAATACCACCATTTTCTTAGGTATTTTGAGATTACTTGGTAATCTTAATTTTTTTACAATTTTACCTCTTATTAAAAATGCTTTAGGACAATAATGCCCATATTTTGAAATTAATTTACATGAACCTGTCATTACAATTTTACCCCTAATTAATTAAGTTTTTGGACAATAATGCTCTTATATTTAAAACAAATTGCAAGCCATCTAAGACTATTGCTGCCTGCCAACCACCACCACCACCTGCCAATTGATATTGTCGAAATGGCGCATGACTAACTGAATCTAGCTAAATGGCCATAAATCTAGCTGTTTTCAACCAGATCTATTTTGACCATTTTTGGCCAGATAGGTGCACGACCAATGAGATCCGGTTGGTCGTGCATCATTCCAACCATTGCCGCCGCTAGGTAGGTGAGGGTGATTTTGCTAGAAATTAAACTTTTATGTGGCTATAGTGTTTTAGCAAAATCTCAAATGTATGGGGTTAAAAGAATGATTCAAAAAATCAATATTTAAAACGAAAGGCAATTTAGTAATTTATATAACATACCCACTAATTTATTCCTCCCAACCAAACATATTAATATAACGTATCTACCAGTTTATTCAAACATAACCAAATATATATTTTTTAAACATTTCCAGTAATCTTCAAGGTTATATATATTTTTATTAATATGACAATCTCAGTAATATAATATTCCCTGAACCAAATACACCCTAAAAGTTCAACTATACCACTCTTATGTGAAAGTGAGAACTGATATTTAAGATGAAATTTTAATTTCTTTAGTTTGAAAAATAACAATTTATAGCAAAATTAAGTTTGATCAACCAAAATAAATAAAATTTTAAAGAAAACCTCAAACTTGGTGCAACTACAATTTCAAGCACGGTAAATGGTTTGAATATTATTTAATATGGGGTTTGAAAGAGTTTTACTCTGGCTGGAATATAAACTACTCACTTCCTGTGTTCAGACCATGAGGACAGTGGCCAGTGGACTGGCCTATAAATATGGCTTTGCATGCGTAAATGGTTTTGTACGAAGAGTGATGTTATTTGAGCCCACAAAAACCCTTTTCAAGCCTCATAAATCAAATTTTAAAATTTAAAATCATATTATAGTAAGATTACTAAGATACAACCACTCAAAGAATCAAAGAGTACAACCTAAGAGACTAAGATCCCCTGCCACTAAACACCTTGGAGAGGCCCAAGGATCAACAAACTGTACAAAGAAAGCAAAATAAACCCAAGTATATACAACCTTGCCAAACAAACCCAGACAAAAACCATGAGTATGCAAATAAGGTTAGGCAGAGAACCGACACCAGCTAAGAGGCAACAAAAACCAGGGAGAACCACTACAACTAGATTACATATGAGACTACCCACACCTTTTGTAATCCACCGAGCAAAACTGCAGGCGAAAGGAAAAGACAATCCTCATCAATAAAGAGCACAACCTGCAGATCTCCACAGCAGCACTAGTTTTAGCAATCACTCCAGGCGTGAGAATAAAAGTCCCCCTAAGAGAAATATTAATGCTTCAAAATTTTAGGTATTTATTTATTATAATTAATTAATTAATTATTATTATTATTATTTTTTTTTGTACAACTAAAAAACTTAAAAATTTATACATGTATCTATCAATTGCAGAGTGGTGATGAGATCAGGAGATGCTGTCAAGCACAAGAGTTCATTCGATGCATTTAATTAACAATAATTAATTTTTGTAAACTGCAGGAATATTTAGTGAAAATAACCGACTAAATAATTAGTTATGAAGAGAAACCAATTACAGGGATTTCAAAAATTATGATTCACCTTTTCATTTTGAAATTGTTATGCAGATCCTTTTTATTTTGAAAATTACACCTCCCCTCATATTTTGAAATGTATCACTCACCTCCCTCCAGCTCCAAGTCCTTGATTGACAGCAAAGAAAACATATATAGCTTGGGATGTCAGGGGCCGTAGGATGAGTAGAACAAGTGATCATCCAACGGTCCAAGAGTGGCTTCCCTTTATGAGTCTTTACCGCACTTCTTATTATCTATTTCAAAACTAGAGCAAGGTTTTTATTTTAACTTTTCTTATTTCTTTTCTTCTTTTGAAAAATTTTCTAAGAACCAGACACAGCTAGCCTCGTTAGAACCCTTCTCGAACATTGTAAGTAAATTCTTTATCCTTGTTCTTCGTTATTTTGCTTCCATGCATGGGTGGACCCACGTTATGATGAGTGGGGGTTGGTGACCCCACTCAAAAATTTATTTTTCATTAGTTTAGTTTGATTTTTTGCTTTAACCTCCCTATATTTGAATTAATATTTCTTAATTTGATCCGTTTGTTTGCTTTTTCTTATTTTATATTACATTATTTTTAACTTACCCCTTAAAATTAATTTCTGCCCTTACCTCCATGGCCAACATATATATAGGGTGTCTGAACTAACTTGTGCGTACTTCAACTAATCTTTTAAAGTCTTGAAGTTAATAGTCGAGTAAACATCTAGTGATCACCCCTATTAGAGGTTAATTGAGGTGGATCAAATTCAAGATCTCTTGAATAATACACCCAAATTCAAGACCTCAGTGGTGGTTAAATGAGTTTGTATTTTATTAGAGAAATGTGTTTTAGTGAGATTGTGTTGAAGATCCCTTCTTCATCACTGTAAGTAATTAAATTATTTATACTTGTGCTTACTGCTTTTGCTTCTTGAAAATTTAAGAGAAAGCAAATAGGAAATATTAAATTGCATTTCTTCTGTTTTTCTTGTAAAAGAAAAATAAATAATTTCTTTTATGAAATGAAAAAGCATGGGTTCATCTTCTCTAAGCAATCTGTCTCTGTGTGGCTGAAGATGAAAATTTTGTTTTCAAAACAGAAATGGGTTTTGTTTACATTCGAAGTTGCCAGGTCAGGATCAAGCGAAGGTTGCTCATAATATGTGCTTTGAGGCCTTTAACGAGTACAAAAAGTTACCATTAAAGTAGAACCCAAAAAAAAAAAGAGAAAAAACTACAACTCATCCATGGATAAAATCTGAATCAGTATTGAATAAATCTCCACACCCATTTTCTCAATACCTCTAATTTGTTAGTATTTTCTGTCCAATCTGTTACTGTGCTGACAACATCTCTTTCTCGTCCCTTCTTCCATGTAATGCTTATTCTGAAACTTCCTTGATCACTTTAATCTCCAGATTTACTTGTCGTTTCAAATACTTTAAGTTGACAGGACTCAGCACAAGACAAAGCAAGACGATATTTTTAAGGATTTGTGCAGTTGCACCTTTGTAAAGAGACCCAACACCCTCTGTTTTCAGGATTTGAGAAAATGCATGAAATGAACTCTTGTACTTGATAGCTTCTCCTGATCTCATCACCATCCTGTGATGTACAATATCCAATGGGTACGTAACCACCAAAACAGAAGTTGCTGTCCCCAATGCAGTAAAATGCCACCAAGAATCAAGCTGCAAAAGAAAGTAATCACATTGACATAAAAAGGTCTTAGATAGGTCAAAAGAAACCAATACGTGCCTCATATAGATATTCAACTTACAACCATTAATCATATTAATTGTGAAAATAAATGAAAGACAGAAAATGTATACATGACTTAAATATAATGAATTACAGGTATAGTTGACCTGACATCTCATGATATTTTAAATATATTTCATTAGAGCGAAAAATTCTACTTTTTCATGTTTTCACTAACCTGCAACCCAAAGAATTTAAGTAACATTAGCATTGGCCCAGAGATTCCTGTGTAGAGTGCATGCTGTAATAAAGTGTGGACATATGAAATGTTAGAACCACGGTAGAGTCCAACAATGCCATCAGTTTTAATGTTTCTTCTCCAAACATCAATTAGACCATTAAACTGCCTTTCGCTGACCTTCCNCTCCAAGTCCTTGATTGACAGCAAAGAAAACATATATAGCTTGGGATGTCAGGGGCCGTAGGATGAGTAGAACAAGTGATCATCCAACGGTCCAAGAGTGGCTTCCCTTTATGAGTCTTTACCGCACTTCTTATTATCTATTTCAAAACTAGAGCAAGGTTTTTATTTTAACTTTTCTTATTTCTTTTCTTCTTTTGAAAAATTTTCTAAGAACCAGACACAGCTAGCCTCGTTAGAACCCTTCTCGAACATTGTAAGTAAATTCTTTATCCTTGTTCTTCGTTATTTTGCTTCCATGCATGGGTGGACCCACGTTATGATGAGTGGGGGTTGGTGACCCCACTCAAAAATTTATTTTTCATTAGTTTAGTTTGATTTTTTGCTTTAACCTCCCTATATTTGAATTAATATTTCTTAATTTGATCCGTTTGTTTGCTTTTTCTTATTTTATATTACATTATTTTTAACTTACCCCTTAAAATTAATTTCTGCCCTTACCTCCATGGCCAACATATATATAGGGTGTCTGAACTAACTTGTGCGTACTTCAACTAATCTTTTAAAGTCTTGAAGTTAATAGTCGAGTAAACATCTAGTGATCACCCCTATTAGAGGTTAATTGAGGTGGATCAAATTCAAGATCTCTTGAATAATACACCCAAATTCAAGACCTCAGTGGTGGTTAAATGAGTTTGTATTTTATTAGAGAAATGTGTTTTAGTGAGATTGTGTTGAAGATCCCTTCTTCATCACTGTAAGTAATTAAATTATTTATACTTGTGCTTACTGCTTTTGCTTCTTGAAAATTTAAGAGAAAGCAAATAGGAAATATTAAATTGCATTTCTTCTGTTTTTCTTGTAAAAGAAAAATAAATAATTTCTTTTATGAAATGAAAAAGCATGGGTTCATCTTCTCTAAGCAATCTGTCTCTGTGTGGCTGAAGATGAAAATTTTGTTTTCAAAACAGAAATGGGTTTTGTTTACATTCGAAGTTGCCAGGTCAGGATCAAGCGAAGGTTGCTCATAATATGTGCTTTGAGGCCTTTAACGAGTACAAAAAGTTACCATTAAAGTAGAACCCAAAAAAAAAAAGAGAAAAAACTACAACTCATCCATGGATAAAATCTGAATCAGTATTGAATAAATCTCCACACCCATTTTCTCAATACCTCTAATTTGTTAGTATTTTCTGTCCAATCTGTTACTGTGCTGACAACATCTCTTTCTCGTCCCTTCTTCCATGTAATGCTTATTCTGAAACTTCCTTGATCACTTTAATCTCCAGATTTACTTGTCGTTTCAAATACTTTAAGTTGACAGGACTCAGCACAAGACAAAGCAAGACGATATTTTTAAGGATTTGTGCAGTTGCACCTTTGTAAAGAGACCCAACACCCTCTGTTTTCAGGATTTGAGAAAATGCATGAAATGAACTCTTGTACTTGATAGCTTCTCCTGATCTCATCACCATCCTGTGATGTACAATATCCAATGGGTACGTAACCACCAAAACAGAAGTTGCTGTCCCCAATGCAGTAAAATGCCACCAAGAATCAAGCTGCAAAAGAAAGTAATCACATTGACATAAAAAGGTCTTAGATAGGTGAAAAGAAACCAATACGTGCCTCATATAGATATTCAACTTACAACCATTAATCATATTAATTGTGAAAATAAATGAAAGACAGAAAATGTATACATGACTTAAATATAATGAATTACAGGTATAGTTGACCTGACATCTCATGATATTTTAAATATATTTCATTAGAGCGAAAAATTCTACTTTTTCATGTTTTCACTAACCTGCAACCCAAAGAATTTAAGTAACATTAGCATTGGCCCAGAGATTCCTGTGTAGAGTGCATGCTGTAATAAAGTGTGGACATATGAAATGTTAGAACCACGGTAGAGTCCAACAATGCCATCAGTTTTAATGTTTCTTCTCCAAACATCAATTAGACCATTAAACTGCCTTTCGCTGACCTTCCCAGAAGTGTTGTTGCTCATATCAGTGGCTAGGCGAATACGGGCATATCTGAGGGGATAAAACAAATAATGAAATGCGTTTATAGCAAAACAGGTCATTACCACATTCCTAGCAAACCTTTTCAAGAAGTCTTCTTTGTCTTGTTTATTCAACAAATAATATCCACCAGCTGTATTTAGAGCCTGTTGTGAGATTTGATCGTTTGAAAATATCAGGCTAAAATTCGATTACAATAACACACCAACGCAAGTTCATGATTGAGCAAATAATTTTGATTAATCATTAATGCAGTATTCAAAATTCCCATATATGGATAATTATGATAATGTAAAGACACCATAAGAGACATAGATAAATTACCAAATAGATACCTTATAAGATAAGAATTCAAGGATACATGCAGTGTTGCCCCTCCACAAAGAAAATATTCTTTCATTTCTTACTGTTCTAGCAACGCAGTTAATAATTCCGTTTTAAGGATTGGACAGTTGACCAGTCTTGATGATTTCATTCTGGCATTGCATCAAAAATGTCACTCGCTCAAATGGAGCCCATATCATCCTAAAGGCAAGCCCCTTCTGTATGGAAAAAACATCATTGCCTTTCTCTAATGGTGCTTCTACAACAACTGGTGATATTGGTAATACAGAAGATGAAGCTCTGCGTGGATCACTTGTAGTTGGATGCAAGCTATGTAAACTCCCCTTAAGATAAGGAAATGCACCACTTTGGCCCTTTGGAGTTGAAACTTGAGGTATGTGTTGCGTTTGTATCTTCATAAATATTGATGGATGTATTACCCCTTGATTCATTTTGTGCTGAAGCCTGGTTACCTACATCAAATCGACATATTAACCACGAAAGTGAAAAATACAAGAGATTCCAATTCAGGTATAAACTCATAATTAATTAGGATTTTTCTCTGTCAAATTGGTTGAACAGCTAGCCACTGATGACATAAGCAACAATATCCAAACCCAATAAAACTGCTTATGAAATAGAAATATGACAGGTCAACTAGTCGACTACAATATAGAAAAAGCACACTCAATCTAAAGTCAAATCCGAACTTAGAGAAACAAATCAAAATCTCTTTGCGCCAAGGTCTCACATCTTGTAATTGCCACTTCTCTTCACACTCCTTAAAAGAAAGAAACAAAGAAAGAAAAGGCAGACTCATATAGGCTTACATAAAATGACCCAACAAAATAGAGACTCCAACACTTTAACCAAAGGCTTTCCCTAAATTTAATCAAAGGTTTATGGTTGATTATATATCCTGTCACTCCAGTAGAGACTCCCAGACTGGGTATTTTGAGTTTTTTCACGGTTCTTTATACATTTCTCCAATTAAAACATAACCCCATTTCTTTTTTACCAAAAAAATCTTCATCTTCAGCCACACACATACATAGATTCCATTAAAAGAATGAACGCATCAACTTTTTTATTTCATAAAGGAAATAGTTTGTTCTTCTTCCACCAAAAAAACTGAGTGCTTTCTCTTAAATATGCTAGAAGATAAAGAACCGTGAATAAGAATAAAGAATTTGCTTACAATGATAAAGAAGGGATGTTCAACAACTAGCTATACTAAGACTCTGAGCTCTGTCCGGTTCTTGGGAAAATCTTTGAGGAAAGAAAAGAAAAAGAAAAGTGAAAGAAAAACATTAAACCCTAGTTTTGGAAGAGAGAAAAAAAATGTGCTTAGTACCCATTCTACCGCAAGCAAGGATTTTGTCTTTGTGTGGGTTCAGTTTCTTACTTTTTTCATGCAAGGAATAGCCTTGTGAAAAGGGGATGCCTGTCTTGGACAGTTGGATGATCAGTTGCTTCTTTCATCCAACGGCCCCTGACGTTCCTACCTATATATGCGAACATCAAACTTTACTTCTTGAGATGTTTTTGGAGTTGGGGGAGGTGAGTGATAGTTTTCAAAATATGAGGGGGTTCAATTTTTTCTCATTCCTTTACTTCATTTCTCTTAACAACCAATTATTTAACCTGTTATTTTCACTCAATATCCTTTAAGTTTATGAAAATTATGGGTGGATTGAGATTTTTGTTTTCAGTGACATTATCGGTGGGACAAAATCTAAAATACAATCTTGCATGGTACCAACCCAGATTGGTCCCATTAACCATTCATATTTTAACACCTTTCAATTGTATTAAAAAAAAAAATTGGCATTTTAGATAAGTCAAGATAGCAATTAAGTCAATGATTGGTCTGACAATCAAAGAGGTTTGCTCATTTCTTTGAGTTCTTGCGTTCAAACTGATTGTTTTAAAAACTGGACCGGAGGGCAACCTACTCTGCTGGCCGGGTCACGATTCAACCAGTCCAACCGATTGGATCACCGATTGGACCGGTGACGTCATCACACATCATGAAAGCAAACTTTTATAGCCTAACCATTTCTAAAATGCTAACACTTAAAAGAGTTTTATAAATCATACTGTTATATGCTAAGTGCTAACCTAACATTTAGAATTCCTCTTCCAGTAAGTTGCGTAATTAAAAGTTGTGCGTAGAGGAACCGAGGAAGAAGAAACTGTGCAACGCAAAGGGAGAAAGTGAAAAATTAGGGTTTTTTTTTTCATTTTTCAAATTGGGCCGGTTTTTCTTGTGGTCCGGTTGGACCGACGATCCAACACTGTTCACGCAGTCCAATGACGGGTTAAAATGGTTTATTGCGCAATAGCGGGTTTTATGCTGACTCGAACCGGACATGTGACAGGTTCACGATCCAACCGGTTGGACCAGACCGGTCCGACTTTTAAAACAGTGTTCAAACCTTGAGGCCACTGACCATAATAATATTGTAGTTTATCTATTCTTTTAGGTTTGTAGGGTATTCAATGGACCCCGAGATTAGTTGAGATGTACACAAACTAGGTCATACACCCCAGATACAAATATATATAGCACCATTTTCGTCAACCACTGCCTTTGTCAACGACGATGCATGACATTGTCTACACCAATTTGACAAAATATCGCCAAAATCTTCTCAATCCTTCACCAATAAAACATACACCAGAATGAATGAAACAGACAAGTATTCAAATTTCAAAGAGTTGTGAGAAGTAAAACTCAGAAGCATTATCCAGGTACCAATTAAATCTCCATTAGACCCAAAAAAATCAACAGAAGAAAAGAAATAAGAAAAGTTAAAAGAAAAAGGTTCGGTAAAGACTCATTCTATAAGAAGCAAGTTTTTGTTATTTTATGTGTTGAATGAAAAAGTTTACTGGTCAGTTTTCTTAATTTTGCATGCAAGCTGTAGCCTCGTGAAAAGGGAAAGCCCTTCTTGGACCGTTGGATGATCACTTGTTCAACTGATCCAACGACCCCCTAACGTCTCTAGCTGTATATGTTTTCTTGAAGGTTCCTTAAGGGGCGAAGTTTTACAAGAAACTTTACTTGTTGAGCTGTTCTTTGCTGTCAGTTAAGTGCTTTGAGTTGGAGGGGAGGTGAATGATAAATTTCAAAATATGAGGGGAGGCGAAATCATATATTTGTAATGTTTTCTTTTAGTTATCACAATGTTGCCGCTGCATGCACATTTGCTTTATGTTAATTAGTTATGAAACTTAATTAAAAAAAAAAAAAAAATCAGTTTACAGAAGATTTCAGGAATTGTATGGTCATGTGTATTAAAAGAGAATTAGTTTATAATTTATATGCATGAGTTGTACGTAGTAATTTAAAGTATGACGTCAAAAAAAAAAATTATAAATTATCCACCAATATTTATGGAAGCTACGTACAAAGGATAGCTTCATATGAAATTACTAGAAAACCCCAGTTCTCGAGGCTATTCCTTGCACAAAACAATAAGAAAGTCATGACTAAACTTTTTCATTCAACACATAATATGACAGAAACTTGCTTCTTATAGAATGAGTCTTGAGCACACTATTTTCCCAAGAAACCAGACACATCTCAGAGTCTTATTAGCTAGCTGCTGAAGAATCCTTCTTGAACAATATTGTGAGTAAATTTTTTATCCTTATTCTTTGTTCTTTTGCTTCTAGCAAATTTAAGGGAAAGCAATTCAATTTATTTATTTATTTTTGTTTTTTTTTTCTGGGTGAAAGAAGAACAAGTTGCTTCCTTTATGAAATGAAAAGTTGGCGGGTCCTTTGTTTTATAAGAAATCTAGCTATATATATATATGTGTGTATTTTCGCCAATGAGACTGAGACATTGGCTCAAAAATGAATTCTTTTGAGTAAGAATAAAAATCAATTAAGGTTTCTATATGTATCTATATATATCCCCTGCTAAAGAAGTAAACTTTACTTTAATGTTCGCATATGTAGATAGGGACTTCAGGGGCCGTAGGATGAGTGAAGCAAGTGATCAGCCAACGGTCTAATACAGGCATTCCCTTTTCACGAGGCTATTCCTTGCATGATATGAAAAAAAATTTAGAAACTCAAGATCAATCTTTTTCACTGAACGCACAAAATGACAAAAACTTGAGCACATTGTTTTTCTCTCTTCCAAAACTAGGATTTAGGGTTTTTCTTTCACTTTTCTATTTCTTTTTCTTTTCTTGTCTCGAAAATTTTCCCAAAGACCAGACAGAGCTCAGAGTCTCACTAGCCAGCTGTTGAACATCCCTTCTTTATCACTGTAAGTAAATTCCTTATTATTATATATATACTCGGTTCTTCTGCTTCTACCAGGTTGATGGGTTCATTTTTTTTAAGCAATCTATGAATTGTGTGGCTGAAGATGAAGATTTTGTTTCCAAAAAGGAAATGAGTTTGTGTTTTAATTAGAGATTTGTAAAGAAACCATCACGAAAGCACAATATTCCCATGTCTGGGAGTCTCTATTGGAGTGAAGGGAAGTATAATCACCCATAGGAAAAAGTCGGAGGGAAAGCCTTTTGTTAAAGTCAGTGGGTGCAAGTGCCCACACTAGCCCCTTACTGGTTTTGTTTATGAGTTAAGCATGGTAGAATTGAAACATGAGAGTTTAAACCGAGTCCTATTTTGCATAATATTTATTGGGTCTTTTTATGAGGGCTTAGCCCCTGTTCTTTCTTTGTTTTTTTTCTTTTAAGGAGTGTAAAGAGAAGTAACGGTTGCACAATTGTAGACCTTTGTTTCTCTAAGTTCGGATTTCACCTTAATTGAGTGTGTTTGTTCTAAATTGTAGTCGCCTTGTTGAATTTCATATTTCTATTTCATAAGCACCTCAAGAGTTTTAGGTTTTGCCTTGGCTCCTCGGATGTTTTTATCAACTTTCCATTATCAAATGTCTGGTAAAATGAATGTCATCCCTATGAACATAGACTATTTGTCTAAACCATCTAATCATTGTCATTTGTGTCCTTATTGTAACACTTGTTCATTGTCTTATACAGTTAAATGATAGGTCATGGACATTCTATTTGACTAAATTATGCAAATGGCTGTCATTTGTGTACTTAATTATTGTGTATTGTTAGTCTTTTCTATATTGTTGATTAATTTTATTATTGGGTTTGGATATTGTTGCTTCATGTCATTAGTGGTTAGCTTTTACCAAATTGTTCAATAAATTGCTATTCTTTTTATGACATAGAAAACTCTTAATTAATTATGAGTTTATGTATAAATTAACCAAAATTGGAATCTCTTAGTATTTTTCACTTGCCTGGTTAATTAGTTGATTTAGCACAAAATGGAACAAGGCCCACTATATCCATCAATATTAATGAAAATACAAAGCCAACTTAACCAATTCATCAAGAATTTTCACATACCTCGAGTTTCAAATCAAGAGAGCCAATGTGGTGCATTTGCTTATGTT